AATGGTTAAAAAAAAAAACCAAATTAATTAACACAATCACATGGGGTAAGTAACTCCCTCGTATATTTATCTAATCTCGGGAAAAGAGGCCTCACATGCGCGCACGTGATCTTTCAACATCAACACGTGGCCGGCTGTCTCGCCCGGTGCACGATAATATCATGCGCATGCGGTGACAAGTAACCCATCATTTGTTCACCCGCCATCACAAAATTATTAGAGATTTCCGGTTTTCCTAACACCGATGTTACTCAAAATTTGACTTTTACAACAGTAACTATCAAAATATGAATATTTAGGACATAAAAATTCTATTAACCGCCTAATGAAAACCTGACCTCACCGCAGACGTGCTCCTATCAATTCACTCAATTTCGTTATTGCCAACCCGACATGTGGGGCCAGGCTGCCACGTTTGTGGTCCCCACACCCACTCCCTGTGATTTTCCGTAGGGAGGGTATTGTAGTGCAGATGGTGAGCATCCGGTGGTTGAGTAGTCCCAACGAACAGTGGTACTAGACAAGCCTTTTTAGTAAACGGTCCCGCGTGGGCCCCACTAACAACTGTCTTAAGCCACAAAAAAGTATTCCGATCGGACGGTCATCAACCGATCACGTACGGAGAGAAGCGTATTGAGCGTAGATGTAACAGATAAGACTTGGATTGAGACAAGGAGGGTGTCTTTCGAAAACCGCCGTCGTAGAACGGTTATGATGTTGACACGTGTAATGATTACTTTGGTTTAGAAGACAAAAAAGTTCCGGAGGGGCCCGGTGTCACAAATCACAGAAACATGTTTTTAACAATAATTTTCAACGTGCAATGCACGGAATCCTTTCCCCTCCCTCCTCTCTCAGCCTTAAATGAGTGTTTTCTTCCCCAAGGTTCGTGCATCGTTTTGGATTTTATCCCGTGTAGTAGAGTGCAGCGAGAATAAAAGATAATGCACAAATGTTTCATATATATATATATATATAAAATACATATATGTACAGTGTATCTCAACTCCCATCATTTTTCACCAAACATGCATGTGATTGATTGAGATCTATTGACATGAAATATCATATTAATACTTTAGCTTAAACAAAATTATTAAAAATTAATTATAAAAATCAAAGGATATCCTATAAGCTTTCAAAATGTAAAATAAGAATTAAACATTTTAAATTAAAACATAGATGTTCAGACATAATAAAAAGGTATACATATTACAACTTTCTTTTTTGTTCTAGTGACAAGAGACTTTTGATACTTGAAAGCAATATTATCATATAAGCTTTTGAAATGTTGAAATTAATCATAACTAGACAATAATCTTAGGAATATATTCTCCCACATAAACCCAAATATTAAAACTTAAAAAAAAATATCTTTGTCAATTAAATTATAAAGAATAAGATTTAATAAATATAATTTTTTTTTTTAAATCAAGTTAAATGTCGGATGAAAGATAACTTAACTATTATAATTTTACCAACACAAGAATAAATTAAACACTAAACCTATTGAAATAAAAATCATAAATTATCTGCCGTGAGCTTATAATACATTCACAAAATAATAACTTTTACGTCATAAGTGAGTTTTGTAACTTGTAGAAAATACTATTCAATTTTTATTAAATTTATTATAATATTCAATTATTTAATTACATTGTCATCTAACAAAATGCAACAAAAAGATAGATGCATCAATCACCTATCCTGCATACATGTAAAGATATCATTACTTATGGAGAGTAACACCCTGATTAAGTATAAATCTACAGTTTAACTAGGATTCGGTAACAAGATTAAATGCATAATTAGGGTTTAAATGGGTACTTAATAAAGATTTAGTGAGATGCTCAAAAGACATACCTGGGACAGTTGGGAGTCTACTAAGCTGAGTGGAGAGGCAGGAGGGAGAGCATATATAGACAGCAAAGAAAAAGAAGCAAAGATATATTTACAGATGTATAAGCAATATAATTGTCCCTTCAATAAATTATAGCCATCACAATGATTACACTCATATGATTGATGACTTAACCTTCATCCTTATCATAAAAACAGAAGGCTTTAAAGCTGTTAAACTGTTAGATTAATAATAGGGCAAATGACAATTTCATCATCTGAACTATGAGCTTATTATAACTTCAAATCTTGTAATTCTTTTAACAATTTAGTTATTACAGTTTAGGATTTTTTTTTCCCTATCATTTTATATAAACATGCAGGTCTTCTAAATTTATATAACATGCAAAAATTTAATTATGGATTAAATTATTACAAAAAAAACAAAAAAAAAATTGAATTGCAGTATGATCAAATTTAAATATATGTTATTATTCAATTAAATGAAAATAATTAATTAATAAAAATGTTCCCAAACTTAAAATATTCAACTTTGAGCATAATATTGTCATTTGTTTAGTCAATACCAGATTATCTGAGTGCAGAGAAAAATTACATTCACCAACTTCAAAAAGTGATTGCTAGAAGGGCTTATTGGATATCTAGTTTGTAACTTTTTTCATCCATTAGCAACTATACCACTACATATATTTTTAACTTCTTGAAAATATTTACTGGGTCAAAAAAAGAATCTAAGCCAAATACCCACTGAGGTTGGCAGATAATCACAAAGCATATAAAGGTACAAAACTTAATAAACAAAGTTTCCTTTTCTGCCAACAAGTCACATGGACTTTTTTCTTCAGCTTTTGCACACAAATGGACATAATGGGTTAATGATTTACGTAAAAAGTTAAGATGGAAAAAATATTAAAAATATGGAACATGATTAAGGCAGCAACACTCATCAAGATTGGAACTGTTAAAAAGAATATTTGCTAAGATTTTTCCAGCAAGTTTTCCAGATACAAATTCAATATATATCTCCCTGTGGACAAAACATCAAGCCTTTTCTCACTAGGTTCATACCTCCCTTTTCTAAGCTGGTAACGATGAGTTACAGCAGAGATCGTGTAAGTCTGTCCTTCGATCATCACATTCTCCCCGCATTGCAGGTTCTGCAAAGTACAATAACAACAGACAGGAAACATGAGTACCCCAGTAGCAATATATCATGTATGTACATGTTCTGGAGTATTATAACTTATGCTGGGCCTACTGATCTTCATGGATGATCTAGAGGGAGTCAACAGACTATCTGACAGATCACTAAAGCTAATCTTATGTTGGGTGCATACAATTTGAGGCAAGGGTCTATTGCCAACATTCAACTTTCCTGAATGCATGTGCTGGTATACTGGCACCTGATATTTACAACTCATAAACAAATAGCACATGCTAGCTTTATAAACAACATAGACCATCCATTCCTACTCCAATGTTACAGATTATAAGAAATGTATAAATTACATCTGAAGGAAGTCAAATAGAAAAGGAAAAACCAACATGGCCTGATTGCTTTTCCCATCATCTAAATCAGAACATACTCAGCAAAAGAAATGTGTCAGAATCTTCTCCTTTGTATTGCTGAACTGAGTCGTCTCTTTCCTAATTTTATGGTTGTCTTCAAGGCTTTTCACTCCTCTAATAGTTCATTTTAGGTCCCATCTGGTTCAATTCCTATTTAACAGTTCATAACTCTTAATTAATAGCATATCCTTCAAATAGGAATTAGGATTACATCCTCAAGAAATTCGAACTAGGGTTGGAAGTAATTTGAACATGAAAATGATGATTTCGTCTAACATGATATGCTTGAAACTAAGTGAAAAAAAAAAGAATGGAAAATAAATAGGAATTGAATAGCACACTTCCACTAAAATATAAAATTTTGTTTCCGAGAAGAGAAGGTGTTACATTAAAAATCTTTTTCAGAATTATTTATGAAAAAGGAGAAAAGCAATGGCATGTTTGGGATGCGTTTTTGAAGACAACTTTTACAATCCCAAGAGCAGTTCTTTGGCACTCCAATTACTTTGTTTAGTGTGTCAAAAGTTATAACATTTCCAAGAAAGAGTTTTTCTCTGATTATTATACAAACATGTTATTGAACAGCTTTAGATAAAGTACTCGTTTGTTTTTAAATATGCAAACACAGTAATATAAAAGCAACAAACATTTTTTTATCAGCATTCAGAGTGCATTGCCACTCACCAGAAGGGAGTATAAATCCAAATAACACATCTACACACGATTCCAGACTTTAAGCAAAAAGAATAGCAAGAATTTGTTAAGCATTTTAATTTCTAAAACATGTTTGACAACAGAAAAAATGAAAGAACAAATTAAAAAATCAAATCATTAAACCAGCTGAGCAAATAACACCTGGTTTGAGAGAAAAAAAACAAATCTTAAAAATAGCTTGCAAGGCACACCTTTGACCAGCTTAGCTCATAAAGTTTTCCTTCGGAGCAGCTTTCTAGGTATAGATGAATCCTATAATTTCATCCAGACTACATGCCAAGGATATTGCATAATCCTTTCTTCTAAGAAATGTACATTTCAACTATACATTGACTGCCCTTTACTGCCATTTAAGTCAAAGTCTGAATCATCCGTTCATTAGCATTACGAGTGAACCATTCTTTGTATATTTGAAAGCTTGGAGCTATAGCATTCGAATCCCGTACAAGATTTGACATTTAATGGGCTCATTGCAGAAATCACAAGGATTATATTGTTCAAATAGAAGTATAAATCTCACATTCGTAAAACAGCCGAAAATGTGGGGACCTAAACATGTATATTGGTTTCTCTCTATCTTTGACAAGAGCACACATAGAACAGATCACAGATTGCCATAGGTATCTCAACTATTGTGCCATAAGCAACAAAACAACTTTAAGCCTGGACTGTTGTAATACCCTGTATCTTTCCTGTTCAATTGGCATGCAGCTTTCTTTAACCAAATTTTTGATGGAACTATGTTCTCCCTACTCTTGTTCTGTCTTTGCAGAACCAGCTGAAATGTCCAAAGTTGATGAACTAGTGAATACCCAAAACCCTCTACATACAGATTTCGATCAAAATAGGCATCAATCAGTAGCACAGATATCTGACAATATGCAAAATATAGTAACAACTTAGGGTGAAAAAAGAAAAAAGGAAACCGTTGTGCCAGGGAGATGGAATAAAATAAACATTTGTGGAAGTTAACAATTTGACCTTGAATGTCAGAGATTTTACTCTTGGAACTGAAGGAGAATAAGAGAAATATTTAAACCATCGTCTTCCAGAAAGTGTTAAAAATCTCTTTCAAATTGGAGGAATAGAAGAAAGGAGAATGAAGGTTAAAATTGTTTAATTATAATCATCACCTATTCCACATTTTTTAAAATTAGAATACTACCCTACCAACTCTTCTTTTCCAAATCTCTCTCAAATTGGAGGAATAGAAGAAAGGATAATGAAGGTTAAAATTGTTTAATTATAATCATCACCTATTCCACATTTTTTAAAATTAGAATACTACCCTACCAACTCTTCTTTTCCACAAGTATATTATTATATTTTAGACCTTAATAATTTTTTGGGCAAAATTACAGTTTTTAGCCCCCGTAATTGGGTTTATTGCAG